ATAAATTATCTATTATTCATTAACAATAAAACTATTAAAATTTAATGTATAAAAAGATGACAAGATTCAAGATATAATTTTAGTTTTGGCGATCATCCTTACCAAGAATGTACCCACACCAAATAATAAATATCATTAAAGATAAGTATATTCTTGATAAGGTGTCCGAAATTGATCGCCAAACACCAATAATATTATTATTTCTATGAGCTGGTAAAGCAATATCATTGCCCTGTGGCAAAGAAACATCATTTTCATGAACAGAAGAAACTGGATGAACGAAGTAGCTTCATTATTTTCGTGAATGGAAGAAACTGAATGAGGCAAAATAGCTTCATTATTTTCATAAACTAATAAGGAGACTTGAGGAAGAATGATGTCATTATCACTTTCATCATCTGACAAGGAAACTTGTGAAGTTATATTAATATCTTCATTATCTGTTGAAGTAGCATCATCGTATTCTTTGTGTCTTTGGTTAATATTTTTGATAGAAGTTGGTTCGGATAACTGCTCTCGTAGGTATACAATTAGTGATTAGCTATTTTTTATTATTAAATTTTTGAAAGGCAGACTTACGGAACTTACAACATTATTATTTTGTTGTTTTACATTTGTTAGATCAACAAAAATCGATTCGCCTTCAACCAACCACAATTCTTTATCACTTCTACATATATGACGGTTATCAGTAGAGCGAACATTAGGAAGGTCTTCATGTAAAAGGATTCAATCAACCTTCAATTTAAGTGAATTGTTATCCATTTCATCAACTATTACTCTATATACTCAGCATATGAATGTCATCGACTGTTTATGACATATCAAACAATCACCAGCTTTGTATAATTTTAATAAAAAAACATGTTATTAAATTTTTTTTTAAAAAATTATTTTTTTTAAATGGACGATTTTAGTGCTTACTGGAAGTGAAATTCGCCAGATATATTGTTTCTTAAAAATGACTTTGACAATTGGTATTGGTATACTAAGCAAAAATATCCAACTCCTTAAAAAAACCCAACCACTGCTTTAATTTAAACCTTAAAACCTAACTCTATAGATCGCATAACAATTAAGATATATCATGATGAATCTCACCCCCAGTAAATGCTGAATAAATTTTTTTTTAATTTTTTTTTTTTAATTTTTAAATTTATTATATAAATTCTATGAAACAAACCTTTATCAGTTTTTATTTCACATTCACCAAATAATAAAGAATCCTGCCAGAATTCACCATTTCAGAATTCCTGCTTTTCTTTGGCAGCAATTCCAGAACCAAAATACATTTTTTGCATAAGTACAGGATTGTTTAAAACATGCTCTAAATGTATCAATGGTAAAATAGTAAATGCCTTCTTTGAAGCTTCATAAGTGGATAAAGTTTTGTTTATACAAAGAGGTACATTATGTTTATGTGTTTCAA